ACATGGCACCAACAGGCTTTGCCCTTTCCCGCCTTTCCCTCACCCTTGCTGAAAATGTTAAATTACATTTCTAAAGCTAGCCACCAAGTTCCATTCCCTTATGTGGCCACCAACTCTTTCCTGAGACAAAATCCCAAGGTCCAACTGAAAGCCCGTGGAGGCACATGAGTGGCCAGGCCTCTTCCTGTCACTGTTGTTTTTCCTCTTTTGGGGTCCACCACCCAGCTCCCAAATAAATCACACATGGAGGCTTTTCTTACTTATAAATGCCTGGCCTTAGCTTGGCTTGTTTCTTGCCAGCTTTTCTTAACTTTGAATAATCCTGTCTGTATTTGGTCTTTTATCTCTTTCTACTTCTATATATCTTACTTTCACTCTTATTCTGTGGCTGGCTGTGTGACAGGGCGGCTGGCCTCTAGTGTCCTCCACTCCTTGTTCTCTTACTCCTTCTTTCCTCCCACATTTGTCCTCCTATATATTTTCTCTGCCTGCCAGCCCCACCTATCCTTTCTCCTGCCTTGCTATTGACTATTCAGATTTTTTTAGACCATCAGGTGTTTTAGACAGACACAATAACACAGCTTCACAGAGTTAAACAAATGCAACATAAAAGAATGCAACATATCTTTACATCATTAAAACAAATGTTCCATAGCATAAACAGACATAACACATTTTGAAATAATATTCTACAACACCTTCCCTCAGAACCTCCAATTGCCAGGTTCCACTCACAGAACACTCTAACTTTTCTAACTGCTGGACCCTGCACACACACACACACATACACACACACACACACACACACACACACACACACACGCCACAGTAAAAAGCCCAAGCTCTGGATTTGAAATCTCACCAATCCCCACCCTGGAAAGTTTTCCCCACCCCCCACCAAGAAACTTTATATTATTCCTGCCTTCTGTTCAGTTTCCTGCTGTTTTTCACCTGAGCAGAGGCATCTACTGTCCTGATTTTTTCACTCAAAAAAAAAAAATCCCTTGAGTGAAGTTTGTTGTGTAGTGTGCCTTTGTGGTATTCCTTGGCTCCCGACTGCCTTTCCATTTTAGCTGTAACACTTACACCAACAATCAAAATTTGTCATTTGGCTACACTGGTGAATCTGTCCAATCAGGACTTACCAACTCACCTTAGCACAGACTCCCCCTTTTTCTTCTTAAAAACCTCCTCCTGCAAAGAACACCCACTGCTGCTCACAGTTTGCCTTGGTCTGACCCAGAGGCAACCTACCCGCTCCTTGCCCTTCTGGGGTAACACATTTCCCTTGGGCTGAGAATTTGCTGTCTGGGTGTCAGGGGTTGTGGGGAGGACTGTCTAGTATGCTGAGAATTTGCCATCTGGGTGTGTCTAGTGGGTACACACAATCCCTTACATTGGGATTCCCCCAAAGACCACCAAGAGACTGAATCCAATGCAAAAGCAGAGTCTTTGTATTGTTCTGAGTTAACTCAGGCCTCTGTCTGACGCAGCAGTCTCTTGTCTCCACTGACCTTTAGCAGACTTCCTTTTTCCACCCTCTCTCTCCTTCCTTAAACTACACACACCTGATTTATATGTTTTCAAAGTTAAGCCTAAAAAACAGACATACTAGATAGATGGTGCTCAAACTCTTCAAAGATCTGCTGAATGTGGTATTTAAAATGTTTAGGCTTTCCATTATAGAGACATATTCATGCCTAACACAAACTTTATGATCTCCAAAGAAGACATATAGGACTGCACACATTTAGCTTATTTTACCTCAGAGTAAGTTCAAAGTAGACTAAAGGCTTTTGTAAATATATCATAAGTTTAAAACTTTGCAGTTATGCACAAGGTCAGAGTCACAGTTGTCTATCAAGATTATTAACACAAAGCACCCTAAGAAAAGCATGCTGATTCTTCCTTTGCCAAGTCTGCTGACAATAGACCCATGTCTCAAAGTTTGTCTCATTTGGGTGCTATGGCCCTCCCTCTTACTCCTGAAACCTTGAAAATGTGTGCTACCATGGTAAACGGCTCAGCTCCTTATTGCTTACCCTAGGAATGTGCTTTTGACAAATTCTTGTAACTTTTTCTATTGCTTCAAGCCTCCTGTGAAAGAAGAATTATTAGGCTAGAGTAGGATGAAGGAAGATGAGAAAAGAGAATTAGAGCTAAAAAATTATAGACAATTAGGCCAAGAAAATTAGGAAAATAAGAGAGAGAATAAAGAGACAAGCACAGAAGGATCACGGTGTTAGCACATTCATTCCTTTGCTTATTGTAGCATCTTCTTTGGGTCCTGAAAGGAGGTCTTTAAGGCTGGCCCTTAAAGCCCCCCATTAAGATTCCCCCTTTTTCTCCTTAAAAACCCACTACTGCAAAAAAAAAAAAATCTGCTGCTGTCATTGCCCAATCCAGAGGCAGCCCCAACCCCTTGTCCCTTCCCAAGTAATAAAATCTCCTTTGTGCTGAGAATATGGTGTCTGGGTATGTTATGTGCTGACTCTGAGGCCCCTTCAAGGTAGTTATAACAAGGTGATCATAACAACAGGTGTCATAACAAGCAGTCATAATAATCTTTGGAAACAAAGATTGCCATCTCCTGGACCAGGCAGTACAGAACCATTTGCAGTTAAGGTTACAGGTGGTGAATAGCCAATCCTTGAGAAACAGATTTAATCATAAACAGTAATGAACCAAGTTTGTCTTTACTGTAAGATGGCTTTTAAGCCTAAGATGGAGGCAGGCTGATAAGCCTAAGATGGAGGCAGCCAGTGATAACTGGCTCATTTGGGTGAACTAGTGGTCTGTGGCAGTTTGAACATAATTGGCCCCATAATATTATGGGGAGTGGCACTAGTAGGTATGGCTTTGTTGTAGTGGGTATGGCCTTGTTAGAGGAAGTGTGTCACTGTGGGGGCGGGCTTTAAGGTTTCCTGTGTTTAGGATACCACCCAGTGTCTCAGTCAACTTCCTGTTGCCTGTAAGATGTAAGACTCTTAGCTGTTAGTCCAGTACCACATCTGCCTGTACACTGCTATGCTCCCTGCCATGATGATAATGGATTGAACCTCTGAAACTATAAGCAATTAAATGTTTTCTTTATAAGAGTTGCTGTGGTCATGGTGTCTCTTCACAGCAACAGAAATAAAACTAAGACATGGTCCTTTTTCAAAACAGCTATTAACATCTTTGCATATGTAAATACATCCAGATTTCTTTCCTTATTCTCACACAGGCAAAATCAAATACATTGGAGAAGTGGGAGAGGCTAATCATTTTGCTTCCTAGAGCATCTTGGGACAAGAAATCTACCTGGAACATGATTTAGATCACTGAGTTCTGGAGGAGAAAAAGGAAGGTAGAAAGGCAGAGGGGAATTTCAAGCACAAACCATCAATGCCTAAGAAAAGAAAAAAAAAAAACAGTGAGGAAAAATATTGTGCCAAGAATAATCAAAACCAGTTTGTTGCTTAATCACATTTACTTACCCAAACAGTATTCTCCCATTTTTCAGATTAAATAGCAATCACAAAAGAAACCCAGAGACTCAGCAGAAGAGAATAACCTGCGCAAGACAGCTGATTTGTTTTCCTTCCCAGACTTTCCCCCACAATGGGACTTAGGATTAGAATCTAGCCATCCCCTGAAAGATATGTCCATGAAAAAAATATGTAGGTCTATTTTGATGTTGTTTTGCTTTTGTATTTTGTTTTTTGAAATAGGAATTTTTGTGTAGCACTGACTGTTAGGGAATCCACTTAATAGACCTCAGACTCAGATCCTCCCAAGTGCTGGAATTAAAGGCATACTTCACCACTCCCAGCTACTTAAGAGGCAGAGGCACATGGTTCTCTGAGTTCGATGCCAGCCTGGTCTACAGAACAAGTTCAGGACAGCCAAAAACTCTGTCAGAGAGAGGGGTGGAGGGAGAGGGAGAGAGGGAGGGAGGAAAAGAGGGAGGGAGGGAGAAAGGAGAAGGGGGAGGAGGAGAAGAAGAGGAGGAGGAGGAAGAGGAGGGAGGAAGAAGAAGGAGGAGGAGGTGGAGGAGGAGGAGGAACTAGGTCAAGCAAGTATCCGAAACCTAGTTTGCTGCCTCTGTTTCTCTTGACCCTAGTGCTCTTCTTTGCTCTGGGGCAGTTCAAGGTTCTTTGAAGTATACCAGAATGACCAAAAACTCGCTTTGTATCAGTTTCTGCTTTTAGATAATCTCCCTGAAAATGAGGGCATTCTCTAAACAAATATGTGCCTGAGTGTTCTTTAATTAACCATGGAGCTATGAACATTGTGAAATTCAAGTTTACACATGTTTTCAAACAACATATTTTAAATAAAATTATTTGCAACCAGAAAAGAAAGCTCACTCTTTCAGGGTTCATTTAATAACTACTGTCTAGTGACATGTCTGTGCCAAGCACTGCAGTAGGATGGCAGCTTTAGCCTTTCCTTAAAGAGCCCACATCTCCTTAAAGCCTCTTCAAGAAAGTTTGAGGTATTTTTATGTTAGTACCTTTGTGGGGTAAAACTTTAAATAAGAATCAATGTATTGAGAAAAAAGGCATGGAAATACCCTATCTAGCACATAAAATACAAATCATGTCTAGATTTTGCTGCTCATCTGGTGCACTTAAAAATGTTTCTTGGATGAATGCCTATCGTTCAATCAGAAATCCCACATCTTCTCTGCATGGGTTGCAGTGGGAGAAATCACACACCCTTGAGCAGCCTCTATTATAATGGAAGAGTGTCTGTTTCAGACAGGCTGAAACAAACAAGAAAGCTCTAGGTCATGTGTCAGCAAACATTTTCTGTAAAGGACTTGACTTTACAGTTCTAACATCATGCTTTCTGATGCATGCAGTGTCTTTTGCATTGCACTTTCTTAACATTGCCATTATCATATGAAAACAGCCATAAGTAATATGTGAACAAATGAACCTGTCTGTGTTAAAACAGTCATTTACAAAGGCAACAGGATGTTCAGCAAATAACAACATAATTTTACTATGACATGTAGCTTTCAGATGATGATCAACACAGTGGAATATGTAGGCTTCTGTTTCCTCCTCACTAGGATCCATGTTCTTCCAGGAAGTACAAAGCCATATTCCTAAGCAAATAAGTTAAACATGAGTTTCCTGGCAAGTTTCATTTTAACTTTATACAAGCTAGAGTCCTCAAAGAGGAGGGAGCTTCAATTGAGAACATACTTCCCTAAGATTGGGCTGTAAGGAAGCCTGAGGGCATTTTCTTAATTAGTGATTGATAGGGAAGGGCCCAGCCCATTGTGGGTAGTCCACTGGTCCTGAGTTCTATTAAAAAAAAAAACAAAAAACAAACAAACAAACAAAAACCATGGTGAGCAAGCCATTGGGAGCAAACCAGCAGGCAATGTTTTTTCATGGTTTCTTAGTCAGTTCTTGTCTCCAGGTATCTACCCTGTTTGAATTCCTGTCCTGACTTCCTTCAGTGATGAACTATGGATGATATGGAAGTGTAAGCCAGATAAACCCATTTCTCCCTAACTTGCTTTTGGTCATGGTGTTTCATCACAGTGATAGTAACCCTAAGTAGGACAATGAGTCACTGCATTCCTGTGTTAGGATTTCCCCAAACCACACACCAGACTTTAAAAACAAATTTTTGAGAAAATTGTTGAGAAAAAGTGAAGAGTTCCTTGCAATGGGGAAACGAGCTGGCCCAGATTCAGGAGAAGTAGAGTCTGGTGGTCTGAGAACAGCTTAATGGAGGAAGCCATGCATGGGCATGGATGACAGGACAGAATGAATTGTTGCAGTAGGAATTTTTTTTACATGAAAATCGAGTGCCCTGTAACAAGGGACAAATTCAGAATAGAAAGAGATGAGTCAGGAAGAAGTTGGAGTCTGAAAGGCAAGAGAGAGCTAGGTCAGTAGTCTAAGCATGGCTTGAGAAAAGCAATACTCCAATTAATGCTATAGCTTACTTCATGGGTTAATCAAAAGACCTGGTGAATTACAGATGAGAAACTAAAGGTAAGCGAAATTTTAGAAGCTGATAAACTTGGCCAGTCTGCCTAATCTGCCCACACCAGGCCAGACTGTATTGGGTGACACAATCCCAGTCAGGCAATTTATTTAGAGTGCAGAAATGGACTGAAGGCCACGGTCTCTTGATGAGCATCTCATGCCAGCAGTCAGGTAGCCGATGTCATCCTTGATCTGGTACACATATATGGCAGATGGCTTCCAGTTAGCCCAGTGCCTGCTTCTCTAATAGTCTTGGGTATTACTTGCTAAAGAGTACTACTCAAATGCCCTGCTTTTTTAATATGGGCTTCCAGGATTTGCTGTTTGGGCTTTAGGAAACATTCCATTTTTTTCTTCCCATCAACCTCATCAGTTGGAGACTTAGCTGCTCAGGGGACTGACTGATGTATCTGATTGGTGTTGAGTCTTTGCTGCTTTCATGTCACTATTTTCTCTTATTGAGGTTAATTACAAGTTCTACTTGGCCACTTATTTCCACATTTGTTTTGCTTTTATTATTCTCTTCAGTTCCATGTCTGTTTCTCCTTAATATCTACCCTCTCTTAATGATCTACTTCCTTTCCCATCTGGTTAAATTAAACACAACAAATGCTTATAGAGCATTTACAGTGTCCCAGACACTTTCTTGAACTTTGGAGATAAAATAATGGAGTAGGATACTACATTGATTCTCAGTGAGCTTACCAACAAATAGCAAGCATTTGAAGTCAATATCCAGATATTTATGTATACTTTATTAGACATTTGTTGTGTTGCATTTATTATTGTAATAGTAAGAGTTTCTTTTAAAATATTAATAATAATTATAATAGTTTGCATTTCCTTCAGCAAGACTGCAAACTCAAAAATCCCAGAGCAGAGCAGCTTTTGAAAATTAATGAAATCTGATAGGCATTAGATCCATGGAGGATGGCCATTCATTTGAGGGGAAATTTAAAACATGTTCTGTCAAAAACCAAGCATGTCTGTGGGCTACGTGACTGAGGCCATTAACTTAGTAATTTTTTTTGTAATGAAATGAACTCATGTGCTTTCAGTTGACCATCTTGAGAAAATGCATTTGTATACTTACTTTATCAAGAAGTCAACAGGTTCTGACACCCTTCTATTCCCCTGGGAGAAGTGGGAACTATTATCCTAGTAAAATAAACTAAGGAACACATCGATAAAGTGATTACTATCTGGAAAAGACACCTTGTGAATTTTGACTGTTTAGAATAATAGGTATGTGACAATGTACTACATGGAATGTGATCTTAATTATCTAGAGTCAGAATTCTGATTTTTCCTTCAACACATCCTGATGAGATATGGCCCAGTGAAGTGGCCTAGAGAAATGGCCTCTGAGTGACACTCAAGAAATCACTTAACACATAGAATTGGCCTAGGGACTAGTGCTTAGGCATCCCTGAATATTCTGGTTGACAAAATCATTCTTATATATCAGTCTGTGAGAATAACCCAGGGTATAATAAATGTTATTCTGCATCTAGACTCATGAATGAAATACATCCATGAAACTATAATAGGAATCTGCTTCTGTGGTTGGGAAGACAAGGGACATATGGACTAGACATATTCAGTCACCCTTCCTGAATGTTGCTTCTGAAAATGACAATAGTTGGGCTCTAAAGGGAATGAAGCATGTTATATGTGAAGTCTTGAAAGGCTCTGATGCTCATAAAGGAGACCACTAGTTCCACACAATTTTGTTGGTGGAAAGACTTAATTTATCTCTATAAATTCTTTCATGCTTCTGCAGAAATAGAGGTGAAATAAGCATGTTAATAAAAAAACTTGATTAATCTTCTGTGTGTTATGAGAGGAATGTAGCCCCACAGAGAGAAACTGTGTTCTGGCACTCCACTACCCAATGGCAGTGATACCAGAGAAAACGTGAATGATTGAGACTAAGAGATGATGTCAGACCTGATGGACCTCTACCTAGAAGATGATCCCATGAACAAAGTGAGCTAAAACCAACAGCTTAAGAACCCTTAGGAAGACACAGATCCCAGCTCTGGGGATATGGGAATAGCAGTACAAAAAGAACCACCCTGCAAGTCTGTTTATTATAGAAATGTCATGAGTTGAGGTCCTCAGGGTAGAATCTCAGTTTATTGCATAGATTTATTAGGAAGAATCTTTGATATTAGTTGCTATGGAAGGGAGAGGCAGGAATCAGATCAGGAATGAAGGAGATTGGGACCGTGATGAAGGCCTAATGAAGCATGAATCTAAGTAGTCTTATCAATAAAAACCAGGAGTCAAATTATCAGGATAATAACCTGAAAGTTCAGAGAAGCAGAGGAGCAGTCACCAGTGACTTCTTACCTCTTGAGATCCTGTCTCTGCTCCACCTTATCACTTCCTCTCTCTGCCTCCTGAGTACTGGAATTAAAGATGTGAGCCTCCCAAATACTGGGATTAAAGGAGAGAGCTAGCACCACCTGTCCTCTATGGTTAACTAGTGGCTAGCTCCGCCTTCTGATCTCCAGGCAAGCTTTATTTGTCAGAACACAAACAAAATATCACACAACAGCCTAACGTCAGCTTTGACTGACCAGACAAGGACTACTGGGGCTAGAACAGATCTTCAACATGGCCTAGCTTGGGTCAAGAAGCCCAGGCCTTTATATTCCCAAGTCAATTAATTATTAACTGGCCTGAAAAGAGTAATGACCTTGAGTGAAGCTCCTGTGGGCAGCTGAGCCAATCCTTGAGAAAGCCTAGAGGTGAAGATTGTCTGCAAACAGCATTCCTAGCAAGTAGGTCAACAAACCTTCACTAAAGAAGAATCTGGGAAGTGCTTCCAGGCATCTAATCCAGTGGACAATTGGTGCCACTTGGATCTCCTTCTTCATATGTTTTAGAATTAGCCCTTCCAGGTTCTGATAGACTATGCCCCATGGGAAAATTTAGCAAGACAACCAACCTGATGAATTATGACCTTGTTGCTTCTCTGGTCTCAAAATGACAACTGAGGCCATTATAGATTTTCCTCCCTATTCATTCTAGTTCTTCATCCTCCATTTGTAGTTCTGCTGGTCTTGATGTCATATCACTCTGATGAGGTTGTGCTACAGCTTTTCATTCACCATTAAAATTGGTCATGGAAGTCCCAAATGATATCAGAGTAAGTCATCTACATTTCAAGTATATCCCTCTCTTCTCCCATTCTATACTATTGCCTTTTTCTAGAAAATCAGAGTCAATTGCTGCTGCCAGCATGGTGAATCTCTGTCATGGGCACTTTCAGAAGTGCCCAAACAGCAGCCATAGTTTGCAGTGAAACAGACTTTTCCTTTGTTTTGTACTGCACATATTTTCCCTCTTAGAATCAGTATCTCTGAATCTACAAAGATTATGGGTGTACAGATATGACACTGGGTCACTGGGGACAGGGCTTGAGGTCATATAACACATCCTCTCTT